CCAAAGGGTCACATGACCTCAGGACACTGCAACTGCCATAAATCTCGAGTTAGTTGACAAAACACCTGAATTTTGATGGCGCCGTCACAGGGACGTTGCAAAGGTCGTGACACTGAAACACGGTCATTAGTCACGTTTTCCAGTGCTTTTTGTAACTTTGAATGGTCGTTAAATGAATTGAAAGTCGAGGGCTGCCTGTAGTTAATTAATCTTGTTTTTTAAACATTTTGCAAGTTTTCATCATCTTCTTTTAAAGACCCCATAATACCTTGCGAGGTGGAATCTTGGCAACTGAATGGAACTGTTTCCTGGCCAGATGCCTCTCCTGTTTCTGATGTGGGGTTTTGTTCGGCAGATATATTCTCATTGTGCCCAGAGAGAGAAACATCTGCCTCTATCTAGGATTGAACTCACAGCCTCCCGACTGGGAGGCGAGAGCTCCACCTCGAGGCCACCGTACCACATTTTGCAAGCTTTGATACCAAGTAACGCCCTTCCTTCTTCTTATTCCAGGGCCTCTTGAACAGCTGCCTGATTACGAGCGACTCTGTAGCGGCATGTATTGGCTTCGCGACTGATACTCTCTGCGAGCTCTTTGGGGAAATTTACGATGGCACTTGAGAAATTTTGTGACGACAGTTAAACATTCAGGACTAGAGGGATGATTTTTATTCCCTTTTCACCAAATGGCAGGCTTTTTTTTTTTAAGTCCCAGGATAGATGCTGCTCCCCCGCCCCCCGGATAATCTGTCCAATGGAACGGACAATGCAAATGGAGGGGAGCCTCTTGAGAACCACAGGACTGTCTCGAAAAACTAAAATAAAATGAAGCCTATTCTACATTTGTATTTATTTTATTACAAAACAAACACACACACACACTAGGATTGTCGCGGGAGAAATCTCATTTCTTAGTTTTAGCAGCGTTCACGACTTGCTCTTGGGCGGCTTTCTTGGCTTTGACCATTTCGACCAGCTCCTAGAGGAAGAAAAATAAAAGGATAAACAGAATTGGCTCGGTTTTTTTATTTCTACCCGGGAAAAACTCCTTAGCACAGGGGTCCCCAAACCAGTGGTGCAATTCGGCCGGTTCTATCTAGTTCGGGCAAACCGGTAGCGACGGGAGGCTCCACCCACCCGCCCGAACATCATCACGTCCTGTTTTTGACGCTCTGCGCATGCGTGAGAGGCCCTGTGAACGCGTGGAGACGCTCACATTTGCGAACAGGTAGCGAAGGTGATTTCACCCCTGCCTGAAACCCTGGACCGCGGCCCACTATCAGGCCATGGCCTATTGGGAACCAGGCTGCAAGAGAGGTCGGCCAACACGTATGTACACGCATGCAGGTCCACTCACACGAGTGGTAGGCCGGCGCACACGTGTATGTGCCCACAGCTCAACTTGCATGCACATTTGTATTCACACCGGCCCAGTTTCCCTCTGCCCCCACTTCCAAAGCCAGGCCCCCAATCCGCAAAAGTTGGGATCACTCCCGTAGCATAATATTCCTGGAGCAGCTGAAAAGTCCCTTAAGCCAGGGGTCGGCAAACTTAAAACACCCCAAGAGCCATTTGGACCCGTTTCCCACAGAAAACACCGGGAGCCACAAAGGTCCTAACCGGAAGCCCCCTGTTCAATTCTGGAGCTGACCGGAAGTTCCGTTCCCCCACCATAGAGTCTCCTCCTAGCACGGCGTACTTTTTCCTCTACCTGTCCTAACCGAAAGACCCATCAATTGTGGAGACAACTGGAAAACCTTCCCCTTGCCATAGAGTCTTCTCCTGGCGCGCTGTGCTTCTCTTCCCCCCATCCCGGAAGCTCCTCTCAAAATTTTGGCCCCGATCGGTGACGGAGCCGCAGCAGAGGGAGGAAAGAGCCACATGCGGCTCCAGAGCTGCAGTTTGCTGACCCCTGCCTTAAGCCATAGGACACTGCATAAGCACTGCAAGCAGTTATCAAATTCAACATTTGCCATTGGATGCTAAGAAGGACACCTGTGGCTTGAGGGGTGGGACTCTCAAAGTCTGTTAAGTGGGGGAAGAGGTTTCTTTACAAGAAAAACTGGGCATATATAACAATCCTGGGCCCACCAGCTGGCAGATTTTGATCCTTTTAGGCTGGATTGAGTTTTTCATTTCAAAATTAATTACAGATAGTCCTTAATTTACAATCACAAATTCAAAGTTTATCCTGTTATTCTGTCGGTCACTAAGCGAACAGTTGTAAGTTGAGGAGTACCTGTACTTCATGGATTTAAGCAAGTAATTGTCAACATTAATTCAAGAGAAGAAAGTTAACAAAGATTGGACTTTTTATAGATCCAAAGTAGTCCTTGAGTTAGGTGTTTAACAAGTGTTAAAAGTTAGGACAGTGCTGAATGCAGGGATTTACGACCAGTCCACAGAGTAACACCTGTTGCAGTGCTGAATTGTATCATCATTATCATTTAACGACCCCATAATCCCTTGTTGGGTGGGGCATGTCGGCAACTGAACGGAGCTAACGGAGCATTTACTGGCCGGATTCCCCTCCTGTTGCCGGGGCGGAGTTTTGTTCAGCAGATATATTCTCATTGTGTCGAGAGAGAGAAATATCTGCCTCTTATCTAGGATCGAACTCACAGCCTCCGGATTGTGAGGCGAGAGCGCCACCTCTAGGCCACCGTACCACTCTGCAGTGCTGAATTGTATGTTAAGGTTTAATTAAAACAAAATGAAAAGCAAAACTGACATTGGCATTACCTTATATCGTTTCATACAGTCTTTTTTAGACCGGCCCGGAACGGAGGTTGCTATTTTTTCCCATCTCTCGGGAGTATTCACTGGATACGTTTTGAGAGCCTGTTCTAAGAGTTTTTGCTCTTCTGTCGTCCACGGAGTTGCATCTGTGAATGATACTGGGGGTCAGGGGGGCGGGGGGGAAGGAAATGAGAATGGTCTCACGCCGAGAATTCCCTTCAAAACATTTCCCTTCAAAAGTGCGGGACTCCAAATGTGTAGATTTCTTCCCGCTATTAAAGTGCGTTTCTTCTTTTTAATAACAAGAAGCTTTTTTAAAAAATGGGTCTTTTTCCAAAGACAATTCTATCTTTATTTCCTTATCTAGCCTTCCAAGGAATCCCAGCCCTTCAAGCTATGTTGCTGAAACACAGGGAAAATGATGTGGCCCACCAGCGGGCAGCAGATTCAGCCAATGAGGAGGTTGGGGAGGAACATGGGCCAGTCCTGGAGTCTGGGGAAGGCTCTGATGAGGGCTGTCTCTGACTGTCTTGTCTCTCTCAATCTCTCTCTCTCTCCCTCCCTCCCTTCCTGTCTCTTTCTCTCTCTCAATCTCTCTCTTTCTCTGTCTCTGTGTGTGTCTCTGTCTTTCTCTCTCAATCGCTCTCAATCTCTCTCTGTCTCTCAGTGTCTCTTTGTCTCTGACTGTCTGTCTCTCTCTTTCTCTCCATTTACCTTCAAAACGTTCTGATGGGGCAGCGCTGTCTGCTTGTGGTATGACGCCATGCTCTTTCTTAAATTTATCAAAAGCTTTCTTATTGATGTCGTCCTTTTGATGAGGATCTAACAATAAGGAGATATTAAGACAAATCAGCCACCAATGAAGTTCGTAGGGATTCTCGGCTATGGTTGTCCCAAAGGTGCTTTTTCAGGAGGCAAAACTTTCTTCTTTTCTCTTTGAGGACGTTTCGCTGCTCATCTAAGAAGCTTCTTCGGCTCGCTTAGACGAAGACCCTTGGAATGGGGTGGGAGTAGGAATGGATTTCCAGAGAAAAAAATGGCAAATTGCAGGAACCATTTGCACCTCTCGGGACATGGATAAACCTCCCAGTGGCCTCAACGACCCTCTAAAAGGATGCAAATGACCAGCTGTCTGCAAATAATATAAATCCTTCCGTTCCCCACCATCCTGTCAGAGCTGAAGAAGCTTCTTTGGATGAGAAGCGAAAGGCCTTCAAAAGAAAAAAACCCACCACCAAGAAAGTCCAGTTGCCTCCTGAAAAAAACACTTTTGGGACACTAACGAAGTTGTAGTAAATAAAATCTACTGATTTTTACTCAATGTTTAAGTAAAGATTTAGCCTATGCTCAAATAATTCAAGTCTGGTAATAAATTTACACACGTCCTTTTTTTTTTTTTTTTTAACTTGCAGTCTGAATTCTGGAAGGATTTTGTAATAATCTTTAACAATGTCCTGATAAAGCTTTTTTTCCCTCTTCCCATGCAGATTCTTTTCAGGCTGCGTAAGTACGTTTGCGTAA